CCCATTGGCTAATCAGCGAGATATGCAAATTAACCGCCAACAAAGATGGTGGTTAATTTGAATACACAGGCACGAAGCAGCGGAGTGAAGACTGAAGGTGGCTCCGGCCAGAGCAGCGAAGGCTTGAAGGCGGCTCCGGCCAGAGCGAAGACCTGGGTCCTGGGTGCCGGAGGAAAACCAGTGCCGGCAGCCAGGGGAAGGGAAGGCCTATTGCACGAATCTTTTCATGCAACAGGCCTCTAGTATAGTATAACAGTGGAAGGGGGGGAGAAATAAGGTTAATTCAGCAATAAATCCTTAATTCCATTTGGGAGGACAAATAAAGGAAGCTATGAACTTCATAACACATTCACCCAGTTGTCTTATTTCCCCCATTTGGCTGTTGGCACCCAAAGATCAGGAGCTACATCTTATTTCTTTATCTCTAACACTTAGCATATAATTACTGTTGACATATAGTAGTTGCTCAGTATATTATTACTATATCTAGACAGCTTTCTAAACAAACGGAAATGCAGATGTGCATATGCGCGTGCAGACACACACTTTTTAAAAAATCAGGAACCAATCAAGCCAAAAATCTGGGACTCTATGTAGTAGTATTATGATTAAAAATAAATGCTTTGTGCCTGGCCAGTGTGGCTCAGTGTGGCACATGCCCAGGTTATAGGCTTAATCCCCAGTATGAGGCATGCAGGAGGCAGCCAATCAATGATTCTCTCTCATCACTGATGTTTCTAGCTCTCTCTCCCTCTCCCTTACTCTCTGAAATCAATAAAAAGATAAATTTAAATAAAAAAATAAATGCTTTGTGTATATACCACTATAGAATTGTACATTTGTCACCCTAATATATTTAATAAAATTTTAAAAAATAAAATAAATGCTACAACCAATAAATGCCTTTTTTACAGTTTCATGTTGAAGAAAGGTTTTACTTACACTAAAGACTGATTAGATTTGGTTAGGTGAAGAGCTGGGATAGCAATTCAAGTAAAGAGAAACTGCCTAATCAAAGGCCATAATTAGAATCTTCCAATCCCTTACATGCTAATTTTCCCAAAAGTTCTACCTGGGTCTTGTGCTCTTTTCATTCTATACACACTTTCTGGGTGATCACCTCTGTTCTCATACCTTTAATTATCACCATTAAGATGACAGCTCACAAATCAGTATCTTCATTTTAAAATGTTATCCCAATCTTCAAACTCAAATTTGAATGCTCATTGGCCATCTCTAATTGGATATTTGTTTCAAACTCAACATGCTTAAAAGTACTTTTCCCCTCTGTAAGCCTGTTCCTTCTATCTGCATTCCCTATTTCTATGAAACAGAATCACCTCCCACCTATAAAACCAGGTTATTTATTTATCCCTTTCTTACACCTGCATTGATCAATTAACAAAATGGAATTCCTAAATCTTTCTTAAATCAGTATCTTTAGTCCTATCCCTAAAGCCTTGTCCTAATTCAGGCCCAAATTAGCACTTGCCTAAATGCTGAAATTGCCTCCCAGTTTATTTTCTTACTTCCAGTCCTAATTATCATCAGTCCTCTTTAGAGATCAGCTTAAAGTCACCTCTGGCAGGTCTTTCCTCTCCCTTAGAGCAGGTTAGATTTAACTGTGACCAATCACACAGTAATCCTCTACCTGTCCTGTCCTAACACTTCTTGAATGTTGTGGTAATGACTGCCTACTCTATAGTCAACTCCAAGGGCTCAGTGACAATGAGTTAGTGCACAGGATCTAATATGTGATTGACAGCAATGATTGCCTCGACCCTGTGTATCTCAAACAGGAACCTATTTTACTTTTTCAAATGCACATTGATGCTTTTGTGACCAATACAATGCTAATTTCAATCTCACTGTAAGATATGATAGGTTTCTGTCATGTATTTTCTTAGTCACTGTGTATAAAAAACACAAAGATCTGTACTTTTTTTGACATTAAAAATAGGTCTTCACACTTGAAAATGTGGACATAAATGGATTAGGAAGAAAATGGTCTAACAAAATATAAGTATTTAACAACAGAAAGTATTCCTGAGATAATGTGAATTGACTAGAACATAAAATAGCTTATAAAACTGGACTATTTCTTCATTTTGATTCAGAATTTGCATAAACCATTGGAAACCCTAACAGCTAAGAGACAAAATATATCTAACTACAGCTACCATAAGCAATATCAGCCAGTGCCATGTGAACCACAGGAGAGAACCTTGTCTTATCTCTTCCATCTTTTCCTTCTAGGTTTGCTATTGAGTTAGCTAATTATGAACTTTGGGAGTCCTAGACAGTGTGGCTCAGTGAATAGAGCATCAGCCTGCGTACTGAAGGGTCTTGGGTTCAATTACTGTCAAGGGTACCTACCTGGGTTGCAGGTTCAATCCCCAGCCCCAGTCAAGGCACATGTGGGAAGCAACCAATTGATGTGTCTCTCTTACATCGATCTCTCTCTCTCTCCCCCCTCGCTCACCCTCCCTTCCACTCTAAAAATCAATGGAAAAAATATCTTCAGGTGATTAACAACAAAAACAAAAATTTAAAAAAAAAGAACTTTGGGAGAAGATAATTCAGATGACAAGTTTACCTCAGGAAGCATGAACAGCCCCAGACACCAATTAAAATAGCTTGGATAGATAAACTTTAAGGATAACCTATACTAAACTCTTCAAATATAGTAGAAAAGTTTTGGAAAAGTTCCTTTCACCATGTGGATAACTATGGATAACTAAAAGGTTGGTAACTTAACTGAAAAGGTAACTAAAAATTACTATTACGAGTGACTACTATTTGATTTACATTAAAAGTAGCAAAATGTAGAAAGAGATACTAAAAACACTCCATCAAAAATCCATTAAGAAGCCCCAGCTAGATGGCTCATTTGGTTGGAACGTCCTCCAGTACACCAAGAAGGCTGTGGGTTCGATTCCCAGTCAGGGCACATACCTAGGTTTCTAGTTCAATCCCCAATGATCCTTTGTCAGGCACAAACAAGAGGCAATTAATCAATGTTTCTCACATCAATGTTTCACTCTCTCTCACAAATCAATTTTTAAAAGCACACAAAAAACATCCTCGGTGAGGATTAAAAAAAAAGAAGAAGAAATCCATTAAGTAGAAAATATCAGACTGAGGCACTTTGCCTCTATAATTCCCTTCCTATTTCGGGAAACAGCAACATTTAAGTACAGGAGCTTCTCAAAGTAGAAAATAAAACATTTTAGCAAAAGCAGGCTGATTACCACGACGACAAAGGAAGAAAGGGATATCAGTCTCTTCCCCAATCCTATCCAGTTGTTAGTTACCCTCTTCCTGCCACCTCCTGATCTCTTAAATCTTTAACATACCAACAATTCTAAAAAGCAACCTACAACTACAGCTGTCTGATCTACGATGTTCCCTTCTAGTCTGGGACCAACGAAGAGTTTATGCACACACATATACATGTGTGTGATTGTGCTTGTGTGACACAAATACATGTATATGTATATGTATAATATTTAGATCCAGATTGTGTGTATGCATATAAAATACACACACAGCCCTGGCCGATGGCTCAGTAGTTGGAGCGACATCCCATACATCAAAAGGTTTGTTTCCAATCAGGGCACATACCTAGGTTGCACAGGTCGGAGCATGTACAGAAGGCAACTGATCAATGTTAGTTTTCCTCTCCCTCAAATCAATATATACATATCCCTTTTAATCATCAGAAATAACTAAAATGGAAGCCAATTTTCAAAACTTCTCTATACAACATATACTATAGCCCATTTCACAAACTACTATTTATTTTCTTACAGTGTCTACTTATCTATAACCATTACATCTATTTTTAATGTATTTTTATTAATTTCAGAGAAGAAGGGAAAGAGAGAGAGAGAGAAAAACATCAATGATGAGAGAGAATCATTAGTCGGCTGCCTCCTGCACGCTCCACACTGGGGATTGAGCCTGCAAAACCAGGAATTTGCCCTGACCAGAAATCAAACTGTTACCTCCTAGTTTATAGGTGATGCTCAACCCCTGAGCTACACCAGTTGGGCCCATTACATCTAAAATGTAGAAGAGCAATGGTAAATCGCTACTGTAAAAAAGTATTTCCTCCTCACTAAAATATTAGTAAAAATTGGAGAAAATGAAGAGAACATAAATTAGAAAATATCCCAGAGTAAATTATTATCCCCTACAATTTCTAAAACACAGGTAATCAATAACAGGTAATCATTAAATTTTCAAACTGAAAATGTACAAGAACATTATTCCTTAATCTATCAAAACATGAGCTTTTTAAAGTATTTTCCAATATTTAAAGTATTTTTTTAATGTCTACAAACTAACCCAATCTTGAGAAAAGGTCAGTATGTTCAAAATAGTTTTAAGGAAAAAAGGTGTTATAAATCCCAGAAAACTAATATACTGCTTCAAAGTGGAGGTAAATAAATTATATTAACTCACAAAAAGTATTTTTAATTAAACAAAAAGGACCAAGATAAAAATAAGAAACTTATTTTATTCATACAATCCTAATTATAGTATCTAGATATCAAAGTATCATGACTAAAGTATTATTACTATCATCAAGTTTTGCCTTAATATTTATCTAACATTGTACATTGGTTTAATTCAGAAAAGTTTTGATAAACTTGGAAATGAAACAATTTGAGGGAATTGGGTGATGAATAAATCACAAACTGTTGAGTAAGGCTGAAATTTATTTTAATTGACGTGTAAATTTTTTAATTTTGAAGGACTATAAAAAAGAGAAATCTTAATTTTTTAAAACCAAACTCTAAACTAGTAACTCCAAAACAGGAACAACCTATTTGGTGCAGAAAGAAAATAATAAAATTCCTTTTTATGTTAAAAATAGCAAAAAGTTAAGACTCTGAGCTCTGCTGATATTTAATATGCAAGCTGACACTGGCTCACACAGCCCATCCCGTGGTCAGATGGTCTCCGTCAACTATAGCATTCAAGTTGTACTGCAGTTAAAGTTTTTCTCAATGGTAAGTTGCCCCAAGATTTAGGAATTTTCAGTAGCAATCTTACCTGATTAATTTCAATGTTTTAAATTCTACTGCAGTTTATGGACACCTGATTAAATGAGTTATATTGTCTTAAATAAAATAATTCATGCCAACTGGAGAAATAGCTTTAAAATATTCCTGCAAAGGAATATAGGATTAGAATAATATTAATAATATAAACACAGGAAAATGGCAGAGTTGAACGCTTCTCCTATTAGCCACATTATCTCACAAACACAACATCATGCTAATCAGATTGATGAAAGAACCCACAAACTATCAAGAATTCTATCTGAAACATAGATTTTCTAGGTGTACCAGTTAATAATGCGCATTTTTTCAATAGATGGAGTTACACGTTTATATATATGCAATCTGATACGTATACTATTTTGTTGTGTTCACAGCAAGTTTCAAAACTTCATGTCAAATTTGCTGAAGGTGTTAACATCATAGATATTTTTATGCTTAAAAATGTCGAATTTCATGCCAAAAAAAGAGCATTTGCGGGAAGTTTTAATTCATTACTTTATTTTGAAGAAAAAGTTATCGTGTACTTCGGGAAGCTTATGGTGAACATGCTCCATCTCAAGATACTTGTGAATGCTGGTTTAAATGCTTTAGAAGTGATGATTTCGATGTGAAAGACAAAGAACATCCAGGTCAACTGAAAAAGTTTGAAGACCAACAATTACAAGCATTAGTGGATGAAGATGCATGTCAAACTCAAAAACAACTTGCAGAAAGATTAAACGTTGCTCAGTAAACAATTTCCCATCATTTACAAGCAAAGGGAAAGATTTTAAAGGAAGGGAAATGGGTGCCACATCAACTGAGCAAAAGACAAATGGAAAACCGAGAAGTCATCAGTAAAATGTTGCTTCAACAGCAGGAAAGTCTTTTTTCATCGAATTGTGACTGGCGATGAAAAGTGGATTTATTTTGAGAATCCCAAATGCACAAAATCATGGGTTGACCCAGGTCAATCATCAACACCAACTGCAAGGCGAAATAGCTTTGGAAAGAAGACAATGCTCTGAGTTTGGTGGGATCAGGAAGGTGTGGTGTATTATGAGCTTCTAAAACTAGGTGAAACTGTTAATACTGATCGCTACCAACAAATAATCAATTTGAACCACACTTTGATCGTGAAACCACCAGAATGTGCCAGAGACAAAGTAATTTTGCTTCATGATAACGCACCATCACACACTTCAAAACCAGTTAAGGATACATTAAAAGATCTTGCCTGGGAAGTATTAACCCACCCACTGTATCAACCAGACCTTGCTCCTTCAGATTCCCACTTGTTCTGATTGATGGCACACACACTTTCTGAACAGCACTTCAAAATATATGAAGAAGTGGAATATTGGGTCTCTGAATGGTTTGCCTCAAAACAAGAAAAGTTCTATTGGAAAAGTATCCACAAATTACCTGAAAGATGGGGGAAATGTGTAGCTAGCAATGGACATTACTTTGAATAAAGCACTTTTGATGTTTCTCTTGAAATAATCGTGTTTTCTTTGATTACAAAATCCGCATTATTAACTGGTACTCCTAATATGTCCACTAACAAAATTGACACAGTCCTAGATATATGTCATTATTATAATTAATGAAAATATGAAACCATCACTATTAACAAGACATCTAAAAATTAAATATCTGGAACATAAAGACAAACATCTATATTTTTCCATAGACATGTTTAAAGCCACACAACACTCAATGTAGTTCTCTCAACATCTTACAATACTAAGTATTACTAATAAATAAAATTATATACATTGGGAGATTTGTTCTTCCTCCTATGGTAAAATAGGTGAAATGATATTTTATGACAGTATAGTGACAAATTAAGATGCAATCCTTAATCAGTAAATATTGCCAGGAAATTACAGAAAAGATTGCTTCATGTGTGAAGAAGTATCAGAGCAAATTGTAGTACAGAAGGTTGGATGTAAGAGAACACATATCTTATATGTCTCAGCCTACGGTATCTGCTAGATTCTGCTTCCAAAATAAAACATTGTGTTTGTGGGTAAGTGAAGAATTTTTTAAAAGTTGTACTGGAGAAAATGTAATCTCAACAGCAAAATTAGTCAATTCGTCATTCAGTTAGTTTTTGCATCAAAGACAATGAACTGAGAAGTGTGCACTAAATGGTCCAACCTGGTTAATTTTTTTTAACTTTCAAATACAGTGGGGCCTTGACTTACAAGTTTAATTCGTTCTGAGACCGAGCTCGTTAAGGAGCTCGTTAACTCAAATTACTCTGTCAACTCAATGCAAAAAATCAGCCGAGAGACAGCTGATCTCGTTAGTCGGGACACTCGTAAGTCAAGGCCCCACTGTAGAAGAATCACTTATTTTTAATGAGATAAGGAGTAGCTGAAAATTATTTTCCCCTACAGTTTACCAGTTATCTATTGTTGAGAATTTAAAAGAGTTGTTGAACTTAAAAGATGAACTATGGATTTTCCTTCTACAGAAAGAACATTCAAAATTTGATGACCTTGTCTGTGATGGCAAGAGGTTAAGCCACAAAACAGAATCTTCAAAACAACAAACACTGTACTTGTACCTTCAATGTGGAGGGACTATTTTAACAATTCATAAGCATGTGACTGTTTTTCGAGAGTAACTTCCAATGGGAAAGGAATTTTAAAGATGAATGTCTCAAAACATTCCATTATTTTGTGATATGTACTAAAAATGTTAGAAGAGTAATTTTTAAAAAAATATCTCATTTGCACACTCAAAAATTTGGAAATCAAATTTTTAACCAGTTTCAAAATCTTCCAAAAGAAGCATATCAGGTTTTTAATCCATTTCTTTAAATGACAGAAATTTAACACCTTCCAATCAGGTGAAAGTTCAGACTATAGGAACTAGTCAAATATCACCAAAAACTTCTGCATAAATGCTAAATGTTATTAACATTGAAGTATTATGATTTAGGAATCACTGCCATTTGAATCACTTAGATCAGCGGTTCTCAACCTGTGGGTCGCGACCCCTTTTGGGGTCAAACAACCCTTTCACAGGGGTCGCCTAAGACCATCGGAAAACACATATATAATTACATATTGTTTTTGTGATTAATCACTATGCTTTAATTATGTTCAATTTGTAACAATGAAAATACATCCTGCCTATCAGATATTTACATTACGATTCATAACAGTAGCAAAATTATAGTTATGAAGTAGCAACGAAAATAATTTTATGGTTGGGGGTCACCACAACATGAGGAACTGTATTAAAGGGTCGTGGCATTAGGAAGGTTGAGAACCAGTGACTTAGATATTTTTGTGACCCCTCTGACAGCCATAAGGAAAATGTGTCAAAATAAATTAACCACAGAATCAGATTTATATTGTCATAGAGTTTAATGAAGATTCTAAAAAATGATGAAGCATGTTACAGACTGGTGTTTAGAAATATCCCCATCATTTGTGAATTGTACCGAAATGTTGACAATGATCTAAGAAACCTCTCAGATCTGCACACTGAACTTATGTACCTATATTATGGGTGACTTAAAAAAAAAATCTGCTTTATAGAGGTGAGCAATAAGAAACTAATTTATATAACATTTTCTCCTTTTCCTATCAAGAAGAGCCAAATTTAAATAGAAAAATAGATGAAGCCCAAAAGCATGGCCCATAAGCAGTATTCCATTTTTCACTGAAAAAATATAGAATTTAAACATAAATGTCTTCATTCCTAGTGGAGTCTTCATGCCACAATTGAGCACATTTCCAAAAACATAAAAGAGGTATTGAATCTTTTGGAACAACCTCTTCTTCATTATAGGTAACCTGACGTTTTTAATGGATTGAGTGAAAAAGGCAATCTAAATTTGCAATACTGATATATCACATTCCTATTAAGGAACTGTACTATAGGGCAATGAAGGTAATATATTTAAACAAAGATTTTGAAATTTAAACTACTTAATTACACAGCATGCATAAACCATCTTCATTCAGATAGTTCTATATCCACCATCAATACAGAATTAAGAGAACAAAGAAAGTGACTGCTAGAGGTGATTATTGGGTTTTGTGTTTAATGCACTGAATTTTGGAAATACGATACCAAGGCTCTAATAGTTCATATGGAAAGTGGAAGCAGAGCTGCTGATTATATTTAAAAACCTGTTAGCCATCACAAGATTGTTTCTAATGCCCTTTTAAAGACAATATTGGAAACCACAAGAATTTATTATTGTCACATATTCCATAAAGACTTATATTAGAATATGTATATCTTGATAGTAGCATGCCATCAACTTTTAAAAATAGGCTACATACTCAAAAAATTTTGAATAAAAACATACTTATGAAAAAAACACTGAGTCCTTATAGTTAAAACTTTAGAAATTTTAGGAGGCATTTAATAAGCTATTTTACATGGATATATTTTATGTAGTGTAATAATAGTGACTGACTTAACTTGTCAAATAAATATGAAAGTTATTCTCTGCTTTCAAAAGAATATTATAAATTTAATATAGAAATGCAATTCCATCTTTGGCAAAAGACACGTTAATACATTTTCTAAGATGTCTGAGGTAATTAGTTTCCTATAATTCAAACATGTACATTTTCTTAAAATAATCTTATCAGTACCTCAGCAAGAAAAAGAAGTTCTATAAGACAGTTACTTTTTGCTCTACAAAAGGCCATTGTACTACCAATTTGATTGGCTGGGAATAAATAGATTGTTGTCCAGTGATAAACTCTGGCACTACCCAATTTTCAGAATAAAAATATACTCTAAGTTCACAACTGCCATAACACTGTTCTAAAAAACATTAGGCAATTCAAGCAAGAAAAACAAAAAGATCCATAATGTACAATATTTCAAAACAATGACTCACAATTAATGAATATCTTAAGTGATTACAAAAGGCTGAAGTGATTATTTTGTTCCAACTAGCAAGTGCCAGGCTACTAGGAG